CGAGGACTCTCTTTCTCTCTCTCTTTCTCTCTCCCCCCTCTCCTTTTTTTTTTATTTTCTTTTACCATCGCGAACGAGTTTCAATCGCCGATGTAATTCATACTGCGACCGCGCGAGAGCAAATGCCATTCTCTCGTCGAATGCGTTATTATCTTACTCCTCTGGGCCCCTTCTCCTCCGCGCCCCGCTCAGCCCTCGATCATAGCGGGACGGCCGGTTACGCGCCAACAACTCCCACGAGGACCGCTTAATGATATCCGCTCGATTTTATAAGCCTTTCGATAAGCACCATATCTTTTCCGCTACTCTTCTTCTTCTTTTTTCACTTCTTTTTCTCTGTCATTTTTTTCTAGATTATTAACTGATTTCATTCTTGTAACTACGCTTCCAACATTAGATGTTATAAATTGTTAGTGGATGTAAAATTATTCTTCTTCTTCTTTTTTCACTTCTTTTTCTCTGTCATTTTTTTCTAGATTATTAACTGATTTCGCCCTCGTAACGACGCTTCCAACATTAGGTTATAGATTGTTAAAGGATGTAAAATTATTCTTCTTCTTTTTTTCTCTGTCATTTTTTCGATTTTTAATTGATTTCGCCCTCGTAACGACGCTTCCAATATTAGACGTTATAAATTGTTAGAGGATGTAAAATTATTATTCTTCTTTTTTTTTTCACTTATTTTTCTCTGTCATTTTTTTTCGATTATTAACTGATTTCGCCCTCGTAACGACGCATCTAATACGGTTATATAGGTGTTGTTAATGGAGATGTCGTAAAAAATTTTTAAAAAGGAACTACTCGTTCTTCTTCGCCAATTTTATATTTCGTGTCGATTCCAGCGATGGGTAAAATTTAATAGTTGTAATGTTTCGATAATTTATTGTTCGAAAACGTAATAACGCCAAATGGCCGAGAATTATATAAGAATCAAGCACTTTAATAAATAATTACTCATTAACTTTATTTTTAACTAGTTTTACTTTCTCGGGTTTGATCAATCGTCTTTTTGGTCGATTCGTGCGTAACAACAATTTTCTTCCATTCGTATCGACGATACGCCGTAATCGAAGAAATTTGCGATACTTTTTTCTAACAATTTTAACATCCGAAATATCTATAATTTATCCTACCATTATCGAATAGGTGATAATCTCGTCCTATTCGAGGATAACCAATACCAGAAAAATCATCACCGACTCCCTTTAAAAGAACGACATCCGAATAC